CCTGAACAAGTAACGAGTAATGATAACAATTCTCTTTTAATATGTTACCTTTGAGGTCCAAGATGGCTGTACCACAAAATGGGTCCAATCTAGGGCAGGAGTGGGAAGAGGCTGCACATGTCCCCTTTGAATTCAGAAGGCTTCAGAACTTGATATCAAACATTTCTTCAAGGATGCTAATGCTCATGAAATACCTAGTATATTGCATGGTAAACAGTGAAGGGAAAAATCATCTTATTCACATAGAGTCAGGTTGCAAAAGTGAGAAGTTCGTGATAATTAAGAAATAAATAAGTTTTGAAGCCTGAAGAGGGATTCCAAATTAGACTCTTTAGAATTGCTCCCTAGATGTTCTTTGCCATTGTTTTTGTTCTTACACATGTACAACATTTCTCAGGAGATATTGTATTTAAATAGCCCTTACAAATACATTCCTGTGGAAAGAGTAAGTTGCCAAGTTTTAAACATCCATTTTATATTAGAATCCATAGACTAGCATGAGCTTATGGAAAAAAATTACAAGAGTTGTGCACCATTAACAGTTAGAGGTGAACAACTCAATTTTAAAGTGTATTATCAGTGAAAGTTAGAAAATAATCAATACAGATTTTTGTGTTCCCACTGCATTTAACTGAGTGGAATATTATTAATTTAACAGAAAATATCTCTTCAGAGGCTTTTGACTGGCCTTTGTTGAAGAAGAATGCTGAAACAGAGATACCTTGGTCTGATCTAGCAACACAATTACAAGGCAGGCCTTTGAGGGTTGGCATAAAATGGCCCCACCCTGGGGAGATAGATAACGGTTCATCACACATGGCCTTCTGATTCTCTTACTTATGGCCCTTCCGTGGATCTGCTGGTCTTCCTATGAGGGGGTGATGTTTAAAGCTGCAATCATGTTAGCCTGTTTTGGGACACTGTGTGTGAGTGAGTGAAGTGGTAGTTGGTTCACAAGCGGATAAATCAGGGAATGTGTTAAGACCTGTGGATGTCACCATTAGGAAGGAAGGCCTGAAGGTGATTATATGGAGATCCAAGGCCGATCAAAGGGGAGAGGAATATTTTGTTAAGACGGGCAATAGGGAGGATTAGCTGTCCAGTAAGGGCAATGAGGACCTTCCTGCAGGGGTGTCTTGATGTCCATATCTCTTTGTTTATTCACACTGATTGTACCTTTTTATATAGTTTCAGCTTATGGCAGTAAGACAGGTAGGTTTAATTTTCATGGGGCTTTCGGCAACCAAGTTCAGGATGCATTCATTCAGAATAGGAGCAGCTACAGCCACTTCTTCCATGGGTTTGCCAATGACCACGATGGAGCTTGCTCCCGGCCCGTCCTTGAAGAGCACCTCCAACAGCAGCTGCACCACCACCTCTTCCAGGGAAGCAGCTCTTTGGATCTCTTTCTCAGCATCCCCAACATCAGCCCGGCCACCGGCCGCCTCAGCACCCAGCGGTGCTTCCTCCTCCTTCTCCTCCTCCTTGTCTTGCTTCAGCCACCTCGGCTCTGGAGGCTGCCTGGACTTGCCTCGCAAAGTTTGCTCCTCTGTCGTGGTGGGGGGTAGCTGCTGCTGCTCCTGAGTGTGCCTTTTTTTGAGGGGGGCCCTCAGAGGAAGGTTGCTGAATGCCCCATTCTGTTTAATTTCGTGGGTACCAATGGGGGCTTTTCTCCTTCGGCAAGGCGATTCTTTGAGGGTTTAAAAAAAATTTAAGCTGTGCCCTCCCCCCTGCTAGGAGGCTGTCGGTGCTCCCTCCTTTCTCTGCTTCTTCGTCCACCTCCTGCTGCTAGTGGTGGTAGTGAAGAACGAGGGGGTCATGGCCGGCGACGAGTGCTCGCACGCCCCTCCGCCTCCTCCTCGAAGCCCTAGCCGGGCTAAGGAAACTCCTGGGCAGCTTCTTCAGGCTCTTGCTCTGCTTGGTGGAAAATCTGATGTGGCTCAGCCTCACCCAGACTCTGCCTCCAGTGGCCCCCAGGTAAACTGAGTTTGAGACCCGTGGCCTAAGGGAAGATGACAAGGGCAGCAGGCTGTGTTGTTACTGAAGGTGGAGAGATCTTGACACCTAATTGGGACATTTGTGTGCTTAGATCTGAGCATTACTAGGTGGATGGAGTTCACTTTTCAGAGCCAGGACAGAACAACTGATGGTCAAATATCAAGGAAGGCCTTTTGGAGTGGTTTCAACAGTCATAGTTTGGCAGAAGACAGGTGGGACTGGGTAGCCTTGCCTGCCTTTTGTGGTAGTTTGTTGTGCATAGAAGTGGATACCAGTTGATGGAGACAGGCAGTGGCTTTATCCCAGGATGGAGATTCCTGGATGGGATGGAAAGATCTGAAAGGGGCATGCCCTACTAAGAAGAGATGCCACAGCTCCCATCTCAGGAATCCTGATGGGTTTCCCTAGTGGTTTCATGCTATTAGCCACAGCCAACAGTTTGGCAGTTTTTGGTTTTTCCACAAAGGTAGTGAAGTGTGCATTAGATGGCAGGCACATCACCTAATGCAGATATCCACTCCTTTGTGCTGCATCAAGACAATTCTGCTGCAGCCAATTGAAGCCTTGTTCAGTAAATGTTCAATAAAGTTTTAAAATTAAATTGGCGTGCTTCTTGAGAAGGCAGGGGGGGGCACACCCTCTCTCATGGATCTTCTACTCTCTCTTCATTGACACCTCCAATGAAAGTGTGCTATGAGGAGGAAGCCTGTGAAAAACATATTGTACAGAATATATATTAAAGGTATAGCAAACAGGGATGCATATTTTTCGGAGAATCACGTGATTTAATCCTAATCTACTCTGTTTCCTGCCAAAATGTCTACTTTCAGAGAGATAGGAAAGGGCTTTGTTTTGTCTACATAAAGTTGCAGAGGGACAATAGCTAAGACTGCCACTCTAAAGAAATTAGTTTTACTCAAGGAAATGATTAAAAGAGATTCAGGAGTTTTTAACAGGGCTTCCAGGCATTTCCTACATTATTGTATGTTGAGAATTTTTTAAAATAAAAGTAAATGAATAGACTCAGTCAGAGATGGAAAATAAGGTTGGTCTGGTATTTCTCATTTCCACATATTCCTGTTAACAAGTATGTATTTTTGGAGACACAAATTCAGTTTGAGAACTGCACATTTTTCAGTTATCTATTAGACTGAGTAATGAGTACTAAGGGAGACAACAGGATGAATCTAAATAAACTATATAGTGTACTGTTTGTGGACCCTCACAAAATTGAGGCTGTTATCAAAGAACTGATAGATCCTAGTTTCAAAACATTATGAAACTGATATAAATGCAACTTTATTGTATAATGTAGAATTATAATTTATAAGCAAAGTTCCCCTAACATGACCAACCAGGAGTGCTGTTGGTGGCCCAACAACCCAGAGAGTACAGTATTTGCAGGCCACCATCTTCTTCCCATGGCAGTTACCCTTCCATGGGTCACTGCAAGTGATTATCACCTACATGCAATCATAGCTTCCTATCCCAGCCAGCCAATCAGGAGTTGCCTGGCTGGCTGGGAATGGAGCCACATCTGGTGGACCTGAGAGTGGCAGTTGTCACTCTGACTCACACCTGGAAGGATTGAAAGATTGCCCAGTCTGTTCTCTGGCAGTCCTCACTGTGACTTTACCCACCCACTCTTCTATGAGAGTAGTCAGTGGGAAGTGTTTTTAGTTACAAATAGATATAGGGAGGGACAGGGACAAGATATGCTAAGTTACTTTTTCTGTCTAGGGTTCAAAGCCAGTACTGTCACAACCTCTGTTGGCTAGTGGTTTGGGGCAGATTTTTTTGCATAGGAGCAGACTCATGGTGGGGGAAGAGGGGCATTTGGATCCCTGATGAGTGATCCCTTTGGGGACCTGGGAGTGTAGACTGGTCGTCATTTAGTCGTTTCCGACTCTTCATGGCCCCATGGACCAGGGCATGCCAGGACCTCCGATCTTCTACCGCCTCCCGGAGTTGTGTCAAATTCATTCTGGTAGCTTCGATGATACTGTCCAGCCATCTTATCCTCTGTTGTCCCCTTCTTCTCTTGCCTTCACACTTTCCTAACATCAAGGTCTTTTCCAAGGAGTCTTCTCTTCTCATGAGATGGCCAAAGTATTGGAGCCTCAGCTTCAGGATCTGTCCTTCCAGTGAGCACTCAGGCTTGATTTCCTTTAGAATTGATAGGTTTGTTCTCCTTGCAGTCCAGGGGACTGGTAGTACAGTAATTAACCCAGCTCAGGAGAGCCCTCTCAGTTCTTCGCATCAGATGGCAGTGGGTCCCCCTAGTGCTCTTGCATCTGGCGTTGTACCCAACTTCAGCTGCCATTCCATAGCTTTCTAGCAAGTTGGCTTGGAAAGGGATAATTGGCTAACAGGTGGGTCACTGGACACTGGATCCATTCCTTATGCTGCATCGGTGCCATTCTGTTGTGACCAATAAAGCTGTGGCCCTTTTATTCTCCACTAACAAACTCATTAAATGGTTTTCCGATATGCTTTATTCCCATGGCAGGTGGGGAGCTTTGTGCCTTGGCATGCTATGTCAGCAGTCTCTATTCCATATTGAGATATTTGAGCTATAACACATTTTACATTAAAAGCATTAGGTAAGGTTTTTTTTAAAAAAACATTATAACAGTTAAAAACATATTTAAATGAAAGGATTATTTAACATTTAAAAACTTGGTTTAAATAGAAATACAGTATCTGATTTAAATTAATAAATCTTTTAAAAGGGAAAAAGCATTGATTTCTATCTACTCTGGTCCAAGCTGCATGAAGGACTTTGTACTGTATCCCTATATGAACATTTTTTTGGTACTAAGAAGGAAAGAGTACGTGTATTAAAAAGCAGTTCCTGAATTCTATCGCGCTTAATTCAATAAGTGCACAGCAGAGTTTCTACGTCATGCAACCCCCAAGAGGGATCGAATGAGGAACTTTCCTTTCGAAGGAGGCGTTTTCTCCGGAATCTCGAACAACTGCACCTGCTCCTTGCCGTTGCCTAGCAACCCCTTTGTGACTGTAAGCTTGAGCCCAGGCTAGACGTGAACGTCGGTGAAATCTGTCCGTCTGCTACGCAAACTCACCTGCTGCAGCTGAGAAAACATTGAGGGAATCATGCTAGGCCAGGATGGCGGCCTCTCCCTGACTATTGCTCAGATCGTGCAGAGATTGAAGGGCTCTGGACTTCACTCCCAATTGGAAAGGCAGGCCCGGGTGAGGATTCTTAACAGCATTTCGGTACCACCTGCCCCCCCCCCCATCTATCTCAATCTCCGGGCATCATTCGCTTCCCCTCCCTTTCCCATTCTTTGCCTCGCCTCTTCTTCCCAATGCGTTTTCCTTGCTGCTTCCGTTCCCGTACAGAAGCTTTTCTCATTATGTTGCTTTTCCAGTCTCCCCTTTATTTCCCCTTCCGTTTTTGTTTTCTCTGTTATGCCTTTGATCAGCTTCGTACTTCTTTCTTTCCTAACCGTCACTGTCATGAGCGACATCAGCTCCATATACAAAGCTGCAGTTTCACAGTGCTTCGTGTAATTCCTGTATGGGTGAAGACAGAACGACATACCAAAGGGTGGTCAGACCACTCTACACCGTAATCCCTGGTGGCATGCCTCAAAAAAGATGCACGGAGACATATTGGTGGGCACTAGATTCTCTTTAAGAGGGTGACAAGTGGCAGTTTATTATCCCAAAATTGTGTGTTTGGGTCTGCTTGGTCTGATCATGAGCTTCCTAGGTTCTTTACAGCAACACTTCCTGTGTTTCCTGGTTACAGTAATTTAAACAAAAATGTGATTTTTCAAATTTAAATCATTATTTTAAAATATTTTTTAATCATTTATTTTTTATCCACCCTGGGTAGTTTGTTTACTAGACTCTAATTCTGGCACTTGATTGCTCCTTGCCAGTCTGCTCACATAAAAGCTCAAGCAGGTCATTCAGAGAACTAATGCAGTTTCTGTATGGAAAGTGTTTTTACTGCTTTATCTTGCTTCTACACAAATTCCCCTGTTAAATTATCTCTATGTTTTCCGAGCAGTGGTGGGTATTGGACAGATTCCTGCTGTTTACAGAGGAGATAGGTAACAAGAGATGGCTGCTCCATCACTGTTTATTTGAAATGGTTATGCAGATCAGTAGCAGAGAGAGTTTCAGGAGCTGTGCAAGAGCTGGTAGAATATGAGTACAACCTATCATCAAGTTCCTTCTATTTGCACTTGTTTGTGTTCAGGCTTGAATTTTCCTTCCTGGTCCAAACCTGTATTACTATACCAGAGTGTACATCCTTAATCTTTTGTATTTCCTATCAGCAGATATTGGGTACAGGTGATGAGGCCAAACAAAAGATGAAGCACTGGCATTTTTCAGGAAACACTGGACAATTATATTCATTTAGTATTACTTTGGGTAGAGCAGTGTATGAGATTCCTCAAATTCTTTTACAAGCAATAGCAGTGTTCTTATTTTAACATCTAGTTGCTTCTGACTCTAATAGGGTTTTCAAGGTGTGCGAGACGTTAAAAGAGTGATTTACCAGTGCAGTGTTCTCACTTGCATATTACAGTGTTTCTCTATTTGAATCATAGTAATGTTTTCTAAATTTGCACATAAATGTTTAAATTAACCTATGCAGATTCTATGTAACCCAGTAAACTCTCTTCTTTTTTTGGAGGGGGTTAATATTTTTTCCTTTACGTGCATTGCAGCCACAATAATTGCTTCTATATTAATACATGGTTTCTGTCTTGTGAGGGGTTCCACATATTTTATGCAATAATTGAAATAATCAACATAAAGTTCTTGAATGAACTTGCTCTTCTTAAAGGTGAAGACTACTTTGTTCTATCACAGTAATGTTCCCAGTGCAAGGATGCATATTTTGTTGGTCAAACATAAGCCAAATATATCAATGTTGATGTCATTAAAGGACTTATGACTTCTGATGGAACTTTGCAAAAAGGTTTGCACAATTTTCCAGGGTACAAAATATATTACTTGACTGTCTATTAACAAAACAATCTTGGAATAAAATTCTGGGATAACAGATTTTTTAAAAAGATAAAAACCCCAGACAGATTTCTGTTTTGTTAAAGAGTTGTTGAAAGGCTACAGAGGACAGTAAAGAAAAAAAGTCTGTAATTGCACAAGATGATCATTGTTAATATGTGATTAAACTACTTGGAATATAAAATCACAAATGAATTAGAAGTCAGTTGAAACAGATTCATTAAAAAAAGAAAGATGAGCAACATATTGAAAGTCTGTTAAATGTCCTTTTTTAAAGCAACCAATTAGTTGCCAAAAGCCTGCCCAAATGAAAAAAATAAAACAAAACCTTTCTCAGTTGATGAGAGAACAACAGGAAGGGGAACAGTCTAGATTCCCTTTGAAGGAAGTTCTAGAATCTGGGAGCAGCCACTGAGAAGGACTTCTCACACATCTCTGTGAGTGAGGGATGTGAGAGAGATCCACGTGTGCCTGTGAGAGTGGCAGAACTGAGAGAAGACTGGTGAGAAGATATCGGAGCCCATTCACTTTCATGTTGTGGAATACAGACTTACAGACAGTCCAGACCCAAACTGTTCGGGATTTTTAAGTTCGTCAGAACTTTGTATTGTTCCTAGAAATGGAGCTCTTGTAAACATGGCAGTTGTGTGTTTCATCTAAAAGATGATGTGATTTTGCACAGTATATATGTTTTACTGGTTTATATTGTTTGCATAACTGACTGTAACAGCCACCTTATACCTCACAAAGGAGCCGTTACGTCACACTCAATCACTCTTCGTTTCCACTGCCACCAACCATTCCCTCAAATAAAGAATCAGGCCAAAGTATGATTTCAAAATAAAAACTTAGGTTGATTGTATACAAACAAAAGGAATGGTAAATCACTTGAATATAAATAATAAAGCAATCACTATAATATAGCAATCACACACACACACTCACAGACCCACACTATATAGCACAGTTCTTATCTCTTCTCAAGTCAAGACCCCACTGTAATAAAGCAATTACTATAATATAACAATCACACACACACTCTCACAGACCCACACTATATTACACAGTTCTTATCTCACAGTATCTCCAATCCCTATCTCCCTATCTTAACCCTATCTCCAGGCCCTATCTCTATGTCCTATCTGAATCTCTCACACCATTCACTCCCCTTATATATCACAGCTCCACCCCTTATGTCCCACCCACCGTCACGCCATTGGTAGATGACACACAGCTTCAGCAGTGACGGGCAGGTGATGTCATAGCTGTCTGTAATAGTGACTAACTGACAAGTATTATGTGGTATATGCCAGAAGCAAAGTGGCTATCCAACAAGGCCTTACAAATAGCGGAGAAGAGAAGGGAAACAGAATGCAAGGGAGATA